ATGGACATATGAGAAGTGGTTGAGTTTGTCCATTCCTTGACAATATTCTACGGGTGTATGAATGTACACAGCTGCGAGTCGCTTGTGGTAAACTGGGTCACGCGGTTAATTATGAGAATTGGGAAGTGAGACTAAGTGAATGGAGGATATTTCTGACACTTACAAGTGCCTGTAGTAGCACAACGGTAGAAGTTCATCAAGAAGGTTGTAAATTAAAACTCCAGAAGCTTTGGACTATTTTTCGCATAGCTGTTCGGAATTGGGCGATAGATCTGTAACTAAGATGGCACAAGCATTGGCTGCTTTTTTGCCTCTCTTGCACCGTAGAGGTCCCCCACACTCTGCCTCTGATAGCTCAGCTGTGTCAGACTGAGGTGCGGTGCCATCGCTGCGATTAACTCTACCCCCTCGATTTTGTGATGTGCAATGCGGTAATTGAGAGGAGAGAAACAAAAGCTGTGCAAAGGAATGCCGAAGCATTGTAATCACCTGTAATGCTTATCAGTACCCTGTATCGTTAATGCATGACCGTAAAGAGAGTCAGGAGCGTGTCTATACCAGCTGTTGGGAGGCCCACCTGCCCAAGTTGATCGTATTCGCTGCTAGTACTTGTTTTCCTTCCCACCTCTTACTCATTCCCTTCTCACTTGTTTAATCTGCTGTCTAGGCTAAAAAAAATTTGGATTCGACTTTAATGATCTACAGGATTGGCTCAATAGCTACTGGGGTGTAGCCGCTGCGTCCTATCCACACAATGAGTGGGGAAAGCCATGGGATGCTATAGGGCAGAGGTAGCACAGTGCTGCCAGTAATGACTAAATTAGCATTAAAATAGTCTTCCAGTACCTAATTGAACAGAAATAGCTTCATTCTATCTTTTACAATTCATTCTCACCTACCTCCAAACCAAGCCAACACGCCTTTTGTCAATCTGCCACAACATACCAAATGATTTGTTTCGAGATACAATGGGTTGTCACGTTTTATAGTGTTGGCCCACAGAAACAATGCATTAAAATGCCATAAAAGATACATCTGATCTGATTACCGAATAATGCTGTCTGCATTTAGCTGTCAGGACGAGGCTTCAGAAGACGGCGATTCCATCAGCAGTATTTTCACTGGTAAGCATTCCCTTTTTGGTGGCATCATAACCAAGGCAAATTGTTGGCAAGTGAGGAAATACAGAACTCCTTTGTTACAATCCACCAATGAGTCAGCACACCAACCACACCATTTACCTGCTGTACAAGAGTTGACTTAAAGGAGTATTTCGCTACAAAGAAGGATGTGTCCAGTTTAATACCTTGCTACATTTTGAGGGAAAATTATGTGAGGTAGTGGATTTTGGGCAAGATTATTAGGTTTACTACAAGCACCACCCATATGTGACACCTCACTTGTCCCATAGAACATTGATGTTGCATCTGTGAAGTGTGTTTATGTACCGTTGTGGGGCAATGGCCACACCACTTCTAGATACAAACACAAAGACGACAGGTGTGTCCACAATTCACACTTCTGACTCTTGTCGAAGTCATACAGTCATGGTATGGATTCCGTCAGTGTAGATTGCAGTTTCGGTTTGCGC